TCATAGTTTCTTCACATTTTACAGAATAAATTTCTTCACATTTTTATAGTATTCAGGAGCCATTCACGCTGCTCTTTTTCCATGCAAAAGTTAGCTATGAAACTGATATGTTGTAGGAAAATCTAATTTATTCGTATCACTGATCAAGTGTATGAAGATTATTCCAAATCATTCGTACACTTCTGCTGTGTTCCGTACGCATTCTTATTTCTGATGCTTGCGTAAGAATCTAAACAGCTATTTTACTTTGAAATATTTTCATAGCACTTCGTTCATATGAAAAAGCTGTTACATTTAGTTATAATTGTACCGATGTGCCTGGTCATTACGATGATCTCTTTTTTCTATTTCTATTGTTTTTTCCTGATAGGTCTCCTGCAAGGGGCTGACAAAGAGGCGATGTAGCGGATCGGTAGTCTCTGATACCTGGTGGTGTGGCTTGTACCCGAGTTATAGTTTGTCATGGGGCACAACGTAAATTAGTTTCATAGCCGTAGTTAGTTTGCTCTTCCGATTGCACTTTTTAACATATTCTTTGAGGCATCTTCCCGTCATGAAGTTTTTCTCGTGCCATTGTGAATGTAGAAAGAATTGAGCTAGGGATACAAGGTCGTCCATTCAAATTTTAGATATTTGGTTCCCCTTGACTCTTTATTTTTTGCGTGTTTTGGGAATTCTTGAAATGTGAGTTATATTGTAAACCTGTATTCATAAGAGTATATACATTTTTAGCATGATACAACCAACTTCGGCTATTCGCTTCTGTTAGCGTTCTATCCCCGTTTGTATTGAGTAATGTTATTCATACCATGCTTTTATACCACATTTATATATCACTTTAGATGGCATCTGATGTGGACAATCATATCATTTGAAAAATTTGTAAAACCCAAGGAAATGAAGGAGAAAAAACTCTTCGTATTTTACAATCATAATTTAATTAACTAGTTTTTTTTAATTATTAGTTTATTAAATAATTAACTAAATTTAAAAATCTGATTAATTCAAATGATGTGGTTGTCCACATCAAATGTCATCTAAGATGGTATGAAAATATGGTATGAATAGCATTACTCGTTCGTATTAAACCATAATGCTCAATTGATTTTTGTGGTTGTAACAATGAAAACACGGACCATTGTTACGGTTCCCTTGGGGACATCTAACAAGACCGTAACAATGTATGCGTGGTCATTTCTGTGATGGGAAACGATTTTTGCAGTCCACTTTTCTAATTTTGCACGTCCCTCTCTAGTTGCATTGCTTTATTTGAAAACTGCCACTGATTGTAGCTTCTAGTTCCCCCAAAGTTCAGAGTCTTCGCAATTTTGAAGAGGTCTCAAGGTCAAAATCCCTCTTGGTTCTAAGAGGGTGGTTGCCGTCGAGTTTTTGGTCTTTGGGCCGGCGCAGCCAACACAAAGATCGTTTTTGTGAGTAGCGTCGTGTTGGAGGTACTGACGGCATAACTGTTAGTTGATGATGTGTATCAATTATATGCGTGGTCGATTAATACTGTACTGCATTACTCTATAAGACAATAACCTCAATATAGTCAATAAAAATTTCGGTCCTGACTTGGCCAGTTATATATAAGAATAAACTTTACATTTCAATCCCAACGTGAGCCAGTTGTTTACAATCACAAATTCGATATTGTGTCCATTCTTTTATGCAAGATGGCATCTATCGAGGCAAATTTATGACATACAATTTCACCACACCTATAAAGATGCTAATACGATAGGTGATGACTTTCTCTAGTTTAGATTAAAATATGATCTTCTTGTATTTGTAAGTCTAAAAATATGTACGATATGTCACTTAGTACTACGGTCTAGTAGTATTCCTTTTCACTTGTAAGTGAGGTTTTGATTCTCACAAAATACGAATTTGAACTACATTATTGCAAGTCGATTGTGGCTACCACTCTACCTTAGACCATCTCCAACCCTTGGGGATAAAGCTTAAAAATTTTAAGCCATAACCAAAAACTGATTTTCTTCTCGAATAGTTCTGGCTTAAAATTTTGGAAAATACCCCAAAATGAGACAATTTCTTAATCTTGGGACAGAAATAGGACAAACCGGCCATACACACCATGCACAAAACCAAAATTACTAAAATACCCACATATAAATACTAAAAATCATCAGCCCATTGCATTATTGTTCTCATTTGGAAGAGATGGTTGTTGAGAGAGCTCTGGGTTTCTGGGTTGAAATTAGATCTCTGAGCTCTGATTTTGAAGTGAGGGAAGTCCATAGAGAGGCAAGAAGAGTGAGTTGGGTTTTGGGTTGACCTCATATCTCTGATTTCGAGCAAAGGGATAAGAGAGAGAGGTGAGAAGAGTGAGTTGGGTTTTGTACCATATTTTCTGTTTTGGATGGAAAGTTCCATTTTTTCCAGCGACTAAAGCTTTGGCAGGCATAGTAAGGTAGGGTGTTTAGTTCCAAGTTTCTTCATCAAGGATTTATGTAATAAATGGGTTGTTTGTAAGATAAATTAATACTTAGAAGTTAAATTAGGGTTTGTGTTTCATGTTGGGGCGTATGGGTTGTGGAATAAATTTCAAGTTTTGATGTGCTAGAAAACTGGGATGGAACAATTTTTGGTTCAAGTGTCCAATTGCAGAAATTTGTGAAATTTTTTTCCATAATGTGCATTTGGTGTGCATGGCTACATCTTAATATGAGAAGAATGAATCTTCACTAGTTATGATGCACGTATGTTGTGCCCTAGAATTTAGCGAGTATGACCACAACCAAGTTGGTCTCGGGGAAAAACAAAATTAAGAAAAAAAAGAAGCTTAGATGATGTTAAGGATCATGCGTGTCCATGAAATAACAACAACAAGTATCATATTTTCTACGTGCACGATTAAGTGGTGGTTGATATACATAACAAGACTTTTCAAACTATCACTGTAACCTTATATACGTAACAATTATGTTTTAATTGTATCCACTATACCAATATGTTGCCGTTTAAAATTTCTCCCTGCTCTGTGCATATTATGTGCATGTACTGTACATATTATGTGCATTTGGTGTGCATATAGTGTATATGGTGCGTATTTACATCACTGATACTCTTCGCATTAACGTAGTTTACTACTTTTTCCTTTAATTCAGAGGCAGGCCCTCAATACGAAAAAAGCGAACGAGTTCGTGAAACAATTTCCTTTGATTTAGTTGGGTTATTTCATGCCCATTCAAACTGCAACTTTCAAATCCTTGAAATATTTGAACCCAATCAAAGTTGATACCAAATTCAAATTAATGGATCTTCGATTCTTTATATAAAGTTTAGGGTTATTTATCTGATTGCGTCATTTTTCTGATTTTAAAGATAGAGTTGTGAGCTATGAGTTTTTGGGTTGAGCTTAGATTTGTGAGCTTAAGATGCGCATGTTGTGTACATACAATGTATGAGCGAGCTTAATACAAAGAGAGCGAACGAGTATGCGAAACAATTTTGTCCATATCCGTCTCTCTTCCTTCTTTCCACTTTGATTTCTCTCTTTTCCCTTAAATTTATCTCTTCTACAAAAGGCAACTAACCTTTAATATCTTTTTTCATTTGATTGCAGCAAAAGCCAAACCTATTTTAGTGCTTGTAAATTTGGATCGAGAGAGGGAGCAGAGGGAGGGAGAAGACATAACAAAAGAAAACCCACATATAAATTAGAGAAATGATAACAATAAATAAAAGATAAAAATTGAAGGATTTCGGTTTCCTCTAAGAAACACCAAACCAATTACTTCAACTTCAAAAATCCATCAATCAGAAAAGCAAAATTAAGCAAACTCAGTTCACAAAACCTATAAATGAAAGGGTAAAAATCGAAGAAGATGAGTGGGTTATAGAGAGAGCTCTTGTACATATTGGAAATGTAGAGAGAGAGAGAGAGAGAGAGAGAGAGAGAGAGAGAGAGAAGAAGAAAGAGAGTTTGGATGAAGAAGATGGGTGGGTTCGAAAGAGAGAGCTCTTGGATGAAGATGGGTGGGTTAGGTTCTTTGAATTGGAATTGGGTGAGAGAGATTGTCTTTCTTCTTTCTGTTTCTCTCTATACAAAATGAGAAATGAAGGCTGAAATTTTTGGATAATCTATTTACATGGGAGGATAATTTGGTCATTTCAAGGTGTAAGCAAAATCATATTTTTGTCTAATTGTTTTGCATGTCGTATGCATACCTTGTGCATATTTAAAATGTCATATTTCTATCCCAATATTAAAAAACTGTCCCATTTTGGGGTATTTCCCTAAAACTTTAGCTTAAATTATTAAATAATAATTTTAACCTAATTTTGCTTGTCAGTAACTATTTTGAAAATAAAATTTAAGTAGATTATTCTAATTTATTTTTATGAATATTTTAACATATAAATATTTAAATTTCAATAAATAATTAAAAATAAAAAGCTACATAAAGTTTATTAAACTTTTAAAGGTACTGGGCTGACAATATGTAATTGCTGACAAAGATTTATTTGCCCAATAAATTAGAAGAACAAAATAAAAAAGTACATTTCATGTCAAAAGTGAACAATTTCATAAAAATAAAAACAAAACATTTTCAAATAAAAAAATGATTTTGATCATGTTAGCAGATCCACAAACTTTGAACAATGCTTTGTCCATCACTTTGGAATCGTTAATATGATTCTTGAGCACACATCAAGAACTATGTGCAATCGCAAGATTGATCGAGAAGATCATTGCCAGTGGCTCCACCACAACTGGATGCAGAAAAATGCTATATGGATTAAAATTAAAAAAAAAAAAATTGTATGATGACATATTTTAACTTTGCAAGTTAAAAAAAAAAAAAAAAAAAAAGTTCGAGCAAAATGAAATAAAAAACAACAAAACCAAGACCTTCATGGACATGCTGGAGGCCCAATTTCAAATCTCAGGATCAAGGAAGTTGGCACGCTGACCCTAAACACCGCACGTGTCAAAAAGTGACCTCGATTACACGCACAATTAAATCAAAAGGGGAAAGAAAATAAACCCTTCGAATCCAAAGCTTTCCCAAATAAATCTCTGCAATTTAACATTTATATATATAAGCAATTCGAAAACCACAAAAATAAAATCACCCATTTGTCTATGGGTCTCTCTCTCTAGGTTCTGCTTCTGCGTCTCCTTGCCTCCCGGTGAGTCCAAATCCTTGTATTCCCAATTTTTGAATTAGGGTTTGTGCAATTTCAGTTTGATATACTTAATATTTTGGGGTTTCATTTATCATTTCATTTTTTGGGTGATATTTGGGTCTTTCTTCTCGGTGGATTATGTGGCTTCCTTGTGGTTGTTTCGATTTCGATTTGCTATTTTTTTTTATTTTCTATGCGGATTGCGATTTGCATTAGGGTTTCTGTTTTTGGAATTTTCTTGGAAAGTGGATTTTAGCTGTTAGCTCTTGTTTGGTTGCTGAGGAAATTGTTGGTAGCTAAAAGAGTTTGCAAAAAATCATAGAGAATTTTTAATTCGACGCTGTTATTAGATAGGGTTTCCGGTATTTTGAAGCATACTGAACTGTTATTTTCAACCTAGGTTTTGGAATTTTTTGTTCTTTGTGACGACCCAAATAATTGATTAATTCTACATTAGCTGTTTTAATAGTTATACTCTTGCACTTTAATGGAGTTTTGGAGACTCTTTCTTTAGCATTCTTGCGCCCTTGTTACTGTAATAATTTGTGGATGTATTTGATTTGTTTGATGTTTTGTTGTGTTTTCCAAATTTCAATTTCCAACGTTTCATTTGAGGGGTTTGGCTTGGTTTTTTTATATATGTGCAGTTGTAATTCTAGATTTATGCTTTGGGCTCCAGTTATTAGCTTTCGATTTGTTTCGTCCATTGCCTGTATTTATATAATAAAACAATTTTGGATAAGAAAAATGTGTTGTTTTGTAATCACTTATATTTAATATCTTTTGCTTCAAGTTATATGCAAAGAGGAGAAAACTCACTTCTCTGTTATTAAGTTATTGGAATATTTATAAATCGTTAAATCCCGAGTTGTATTGAGCTCTGTTGTTCTGTTGACAAATTGGTTGACTCTTTAGATGACATGGAACTTTTCTTTCCTTTGTTTGTTAGTTTTACTTTAAGATTCTTTATAATCGAAGCTTTCTTTGATTAGACATGATGTATTACAATTCTTGGCGGTCTTATTCAATGCTGTTAGTACATTCTAATTAATTTACCTGTTTAGTTTTATCTACATTTGGTAGTAAATGATTTGTGAGTTTAGTATCTGTGGTTCTATGTTCATCTGGACTCTGAAGAATTACAATTTATGATTATATGCAGATATTGGCTTCCCAAATACTTGATACACCGGCTGGTTAATCCAATTTTTTTATTCATTTGTCAATGGCGGATTCGGAAAATGCCCTTCCACTTAATAAGAAGCGAGCTGCTGGGAGGGAACTGTCTCGGGATAACCCAGGCCTTGATGACGAGGACGATGCTTCTGATGCAGAGATTGGAACTTTCAAGAGGGCCAGTGAGGAGGTGCTGGCCACCAGAAGAATTGTGAAGGTTCGTCGCCAGCAGTGTACATCTGCCCCCGCTTCTAATACTTCCAATCCTTTTGCTGGTATACGCTTAGTTGCCTCCAACAGGAGCAACTGCAGCCCCTGCTGCAGCTAGCACACCACCTGCCAGTGAAACACGAGTTTCAGATGAGGATAATAAGCAGCCAGAAAGCAAGGTTGAACAGGCTGATCAAGCTGCGGATGACTCTGCTGCAGATAAGGAGAATGTTGTGAAGGAGAACAATGAAGTTTCCAGTGAGGCAACGGAACAACCTGAACCATCTGTGGGTGAAAATAAGACAAATGAGGGTGATGCAGTAAATGAGGAAGAGGAAAAGGCTGAAATTGAAGATAAGAAAGATGGAGAAGATAAGAAAGATAACAAAAACTGAAAATGTTGATCCAAGTCCGGAAGGTAACTCGTTGAGCTCATTCCAACAGCTTTCGAGTAGCCAAAATGCCTTCACAAATATCTCTGGAACCGGGTTCTCCACATCCAGTTTTTCATTTGGGCTTATTTCAAAGGATGGGTCTGCATTGGGTACTGGCTCTAGTTCACTTTTTGGATCAAATAATGATCAGCCTTCTGGTATTGGTCTCTTGCGTAATGGAAGTTCTTCAGCTCTTTGGCACATCAGGGCCCTCAGTTGTACCTAAGAGTGATGGTGGTGCCTTCCCGCCAATGCAAGAGATTTCAGTTGAGACTGGGGAAGAAAATGAGAAAGTGGTTTTCACTGCTGATGCTGCGTTGTTTGAATTTATTGATGGAGGCTGGAAGGAACGTGGAAAGGGAGATCTGAAAGTTAATGTATCTGAATCTGAGAAAGCCAGACTTGTGATGAGACTCAAGGGAATTAGGAAGGTAATTCTGAATGCAAGCCTTTACCCAGACATGAAGCTCACGAACATGGAGAAGAAAGGTGTAACATTTGCCTGCATGAACAGTATCGATGAAAAGAAGGATGGGCTTTCCACCTTTGCTTTGAAGTTCAAGGATGGTTCCATAGTCGAGGAATTTCGAGCTGCTGTTACAGCACATAAAGAAAAAGGTAAGGCATTTACAGCTATGAAGACTCCTGAAAATTCTCCCAAGGCATCTGATGATTAAAAGGGTAGCTTAGCTTATGTCAATGCTTGCTGAGTTTCATTTCCTATCGCAACTTTTCCCTGTTGTCGTCCTTGCCCCTTTTTGGGAAGAAAACGAAGTTGTTTTAGAGTCTGGCTGTTCCGAAGCCCTTTTGTAGCGGAGTTATAGAGTCCTGCCCGTTTTGTTTTAGTTTTAATTTCAGTCTAATGTTCGAAAGACCAGTGGTAACTCATTCTGGATAAATCGTATGCGGTTAAATCAGACTGCGTTTGCTCTTTGGGATGTTGACTGTTTGACACAGTTTTACGGTTGGTTGGTCCCTTCATATGCAATATATCTGAAAGACTTATACTGCAGTCTGTCAGATGTTAAAATTTTCTCGGTTAGATTAATAAGTTGTATGAATCAGTTACCTCTTTGGGAAATTATCCAGAAATTTTATTTGGACCAATAATATTTCTTTACACCTTAAACTAATTTAGTGCTGTTATACTCCAAAGTGTTCAGTGCCGACACATACTTGACCGTTTGGATTTGCAAGGATCCTCGGTGCTTGTTTAAACTGTCGGATCAAATCAACTGGTCAAATATGTTTTGGCACTGAGTGCCTGTAGGTATTCACGAGAAATCACTCATTGCAGCTTGTCTGATTCCACTTTAGAATGAAAATATGTTATGGACAAGCTTTTTCTTGCAAAATACTTTGAATACCGTTAAGTACAGTGGTGCTACACATCTTATGAACTATTTTCTTTAGCTTCTTTAGTGATTTCCCTTACCGCTTCCCCTTTCTTGTGATGTTGAAGATCCATGGCTGTCCTTGTCACTTGGTGGCCAAGGAATACATGATCATTCACTATTTAATTTGATATAACAACGAAGAATTAAATGAATATGCTTTTATTGTTTTAATCTCAACACTCAATATCTAATTCAAAGGTAGGTTGCCATAAATCCTTAATGATCAGGTGATCAAGAGAACGAGGACTCTAGTTTATTTTGTTTTGTGAGAATCATGAAATGGTGCCCTTCTATTATATTTTCGAAGATTAATTAGACTATTACTAACGATCAAGAACGTTCATAGGGTAGACATATAAGACCAGGGACGGAGAAGAAATATAATTAATGTGTGTAAGCAATGTCTGGCTGGTCGAAATCAACTGCACAGACGACGGCTTCACGGCGGAGAAGATGAAAGCTGATACCCTATTTCCCATTTTAGAATCGGTTTTACCTCTATTAACATTTATTTCCCGTTTGGGGCTTATTTTTTTGGAGTTGCTTTCGTATTTTTTCTGTAAGTTTTGCGGTTTTATGGTTAAGGTGTAGTGGGAGAAAGCTAATTTAAAGAGTGATGTTAGTTAGCTAGGCTCTCTTCCTGGTATAACTTTGCAATCCTTACCAAGTTATACATTTCTCTGCCTAATTAAAAAGAAATTTATTTGTGTTTTTAATGACCCACTCTTGTAGGTGATCACATGACTCTTCTCTCTTCTTAAAGAAGGTGTTGGCTAAAAAGAGACGAATGCCATTTCAAAATCCAAAATGGCTTCCCCATCCTCGTTTATCTCCCCAAAACCATGGCCACCATGGAAACCTCCAATATTGCCTGTCTCTTGGCACATGTCCATTTAAATCTCTTCCTATGAATAAATTCTCCGTCTAAGAGATTTCTTGAACCAATTCTATATGATCTTCCCAAATTTATCCTTCATACTCATATCCAACCCAACTTGAGGTGCATACACACTAATCACATTGATGAGTTCTTGTCTTATCACAATCTTGATTGCTATAATTCTATCTCTGAGCCTCTTAAGATCTAGAACATCTTGTGTTGGGGCCTTGTCCATAATGATGCTAACACCATTTCTCGTTCTGTTTGTGCTCGAATACCAAAGTTTAAAGCCTGAGTTTTTTAGATCCTTTGTCTTACGACCAACTCACTTAGTTTGTTGGAGGCACATAATACTTATGCTTCTCCTCACCATAACTTCCACTACTTCCATAGGTTTTCTCGTTAAGATTCCTACTTCCTCGTTCTAAACGCATTCTACTCTCTTGAACCTTACCCATGTCCTGCTTATTTGACATCCCCTATTTAGTAAGGTTAAAGTACTTTTTTGTGTGTGTCAAGGGTAAAGTTGATGTGAGCAGATGCTTCCAAACAACTTATGAGTGGAGTTGTTCAAAAAGAAGTTTGTATGGCCCCTTGCTCATTTAACATTGCATCTGGACGCCGATGGAGATACAGTGACCCTTACTCATTTATCACCGTGCCCGGGCCACACAGTGCGTCACTTACGAGTGACGACCTAGTTTTATCGCAATTTGTTTAGGCTTTGTTATCACATGGATTCGACGTAAGAATGTAGTGCTAACTATCGACTACCTATTCCATTATCCGAGTCTGGAACCGGCAATGTAAGAAACTTACACATGCGGAGTTCATTTACTAAATATCTAATAAAGGGAAAATGGTCCAAAGAAGAAGGTGAGAGAGAAAGTTGCTAGTATAAAATAAAATAAAATATGTCACCGCCCATTCATCGGATTCACAAGGCCTAATAAAACGCATTGTGCGTGAGACTCTCTCTCTTTGGTTTCCTATCTTGCAATCTCGTTTGTCACCAGCCTTAGCCTTTGGCTTGGGTGCCGGTGACTATGGTCCAAGTTCCTTGTACTCCTCTTTCCCTCTTTCTCCTAATTCTCTTCTCTCTTTTTCAATTTTTCCCCGAGATTTTTGTTAGCTTCCTTGAGCTTTGTCTCAAATTTTCCATGAGTTTATCTCACTTTTGGGCTTCATGTCCCTTTTCTCCACCCGTCCCTCTTTTCTGGCCGTTCTTTTCCAAACCCAAAACTCCATCTCCCCTCACTTTTCCCCTCTTCCTCCCTTCCCCATAAACAATCCCTACCCATACTTTGCTCTGATCTTCAGACTCCGAGCTGAATATGGTTGCCAGATTTATTTCCCTCCCTCATTGCCCGCGGCCCCCCCCCCCCAAAAAAAAAGGCTTGCCGGATTTCCCTTAAGGCCAAGTGTACTTACTGCTTCGGTCAAAGTAAGGATATTTTACATTCTCCCTTAGCCTCACCTTCTATCCATGTGTTACTGTGTTTGTATATATTCGCAGGGATTAGTGAATGAGATTTGGATTTGGTGGCTATCTTTTGGTTTTGCGACTTTGGTGAAGAAATTTGGATGTGGTGTGCTTCTTCTTGCAGGTTTGGTACTTTTGTGCTGCGATGTCTGGTTCGTTTTCAGCACTCGGTCGTTTTCTCTAGTGTTGCTGCTTTAGTAGTTATTGGTAAGACTTTCGTGGCGGTGAGAGCGGCGGACGCTGCTTTCTACGGCAAAAAAATTAGGGATTTGGATTTCCGTTTTAGTTTTATTTAATTGGGCTGGGCTTTTATGTATCTATGTCCCCCAATATATTTGTGTTATTTTGTCTTCCTTTGCGTTGGCCTGTAACCTGCTATCAAATTAATGAAATTATCTTTTCTTACCAAAAAAAAAAAAAAAAAAAAAGTAGCGGCTTTACTACACCTATATTCAATATTTAATTACTTCTTCAAATACAAGGTTATTCAGACTGTGAGTTCCAGGCCGGAAACTGATCTTATTTTGAAGTACAACGAGATTTATTTTTCACTAATACCAGATAAAATACTAATCAAACCAAACTGTTCTTAGTTCTTTGTTGGCGCGTATGAACTGAGGCAAGCTCCATCACAAGAATTAACGCAAGCGTCTACTTTTTCTCTATCTGAAAAAGAACCAAAATAAAAAAAAAAAAAAAAACAAAGATGAGTATAAGTAATGAATAATCATCGATATCGATCCATGTTGAGAGAGAGAGAGAGAGAAATAATTACTAGGGTTTTCTATTGTGCTGATATTGGAGCACAAGGATGTAGCACAACCAAGGTTGCAGAAGTAGTGTTGGGGGTTTGATTGGGCGTCCAAAGTTGTTAGGAAGCACGATTTCAGGCATCTTGTTGCACATTTGAAAGGATTGTGTGGTGGTCTGGCAACACATACAATAAAGCAGCTCTTATAACAATCTTTAAAATTTGCTTGGCTTTGGCCTATGAAAAATCCCAACATGAAAAGAAATACCACAGCGGACCTAACTCTTTTGCCCTCCATCCTCTTTTGCTAATAACTAATCACTAGTTAGCTATAAAATTATATCACTCAATGCTGAAGGCAAACCTCATATGCCCGTTAAAAGCTTTATATAGGTTGGTGTGTATAGAACATATGGTAGTATGGATAAATATATAAATCGTTCATTAGCATTTATGAATTTTGAATTATATATATAGTATTCACTTAATTATAAAGTAATATGCCAAGTATTTAGACATAATTTTTAGCTGAATGGAGAAGATTTGACAGATGGATTCGTTCAAGTATTTTTCTTTTTTCTTTTTGTCAAATTGAACCAAATTAAATTTCCATATAATAAGGATGGATTTCTTCCATAAAAATTTAGTTTTAAACATCTTACTTATTACAAGAGGTGGATTGCAAAGGTGGTTAAGGTCCTCTTCAATCTAGTGCGTCCGGATTCAAATTCCACACCTCACTTTGTTGTAGATTCGTGTAGAATATCGCTTGTATACAAAAAACATCTTCCTTATATAGTGGTTGTAACTAAGAATGTCTATCTATAATGGTGCTAAAATGATCATCAGATAATGTGTATAACAATATCTATTTAGGTTGGACATGGAGACACGGATGTAGAATTACAGCGCAAGATGCACTGCGTAACAGGAAAATACAACGAGAGAACACACGACAAGGTTTGCTCAAGGTTAAACAAATGAGCCAAGTTGGACAGAAACAAAAAAATATTACAAACAAATGAGTGAAGTTGAACAGAAACAAAAAATATTACAAACCTTGGAGGAGACCGCCTGGTGGACCGAACCAAAACCATGATAGCGCTACTGGAAAAAATAACCAAGGAGACGAACAATATTCGGCCGCTAAAAACAATATTGGTCGCGAAAGCTTTCAAGCAACAAAGAGCTGTCGGGTAAAATTTGTCGCGTCAAATCCGTTGTAAATATCTTGTCCCGACGGATACCAAATTTTGTCAGTTGAAAGACTCTCACCCGACAACAATTGCAACGAAAGTCCGGAGGTAAAAATTGAGTCGACCTTTTTTGACTGAGAAGAATGTTCAGTTGGCGAAATGTCGGTCGTCGAGTAAAACTAATCTTAAATTTCAACAAATTATGTAAAT